TTTAGAAGGCGTTTTTTCTCTCTAAACAACGCTGCTTGAAATATTGTTTGAACGTGCTTGCTTTTATCTGCGTTTTTTCTCGTGCATTTAAATACGCTTTTTAAAGCGTCTTTTATTTGAAAGCAACAATTATTTGACAAGCATGTTAGAGCGCTGTTCTGCAAGGACTTTTGGGAAAAAATGAGTTATTTTATAAACAATTTAACTCAGTATTTGGATTCGCATTTTGAGTAAAAGTGTCTTTTTTATAATCTAAAAGCCTGTTAGCTATAGAGCTAAACATATAATTCACACCCAAATATGAATAGCAAAAATAATTCTAGCATTAATTTTGTTTTCTGTCATTCTTTCTTTGACAACAGTGTGGAGAACAACGTAAAAAAACCAGAGTAAAACATTTGCATCAACTTTCGTCTCATTAAGTTGAAATTCTTTTAGGTACGTTTTCTTCATCTAACTGATCGAAAACTCAGCGTATTACAAAAATATGAAGTTTTTTTCTTGAGGTCTGGTACATAGATTTGAAACTTTGACATTCGATTTCAAGATGCATTCGATACCCGATAGAATAGAGTAGTGTTTTTTAATTTCGATAGTGTATAGCTGGGATTATAGTTTTGAAAAACATATGCTGCAAAAATCATCAGGACTAAAACAAGATTCTAATAAAATATCTAGCCAACTTGGGCATTATTTCAGCAAAACTTGAGAGGATGCCGAAGAAACCACTATCCAAAATGACACGGTCAGGTTTTGCAAAAGTTGACCTTAGAAATGAAATTTCGGGAAGCATGATTGGTAATGAGCGTTGAAGTAGATTGCGTGAAAATATAGCAAAAAAATACAATCAAACAAATCTTCCAAGTGTCTAGAGCCCTCTTTACCGAATGAAGGGTCCATTGAATTTCATATTTCAGTTCTGCACAGCTCATGCTGAAAACTCTTACATATTGGGAATGAAATCTTTAAGAGGTCTGATGACTCGACTTATTTTCATCGCTAGTCAATGCTTGAAAAACCATAAGTTTTGCGAAAAAGCAAGCTTCTTCTCGTCGAAAATTGGAACTCGAAAATATGTTCAAAATCTACTACTATTTTACTCTAAACGTTATCGCCTCATTCGCTCTAAAAATCCACAGAGAAAACATTTCTATTTGCAGCCACTATCTACATAATAGTTATGAAAATAAGGAAAATATCAGGGTGACGATTTTGTTACAGAAAAAGGGTTAGCACTGATGGAACTACGCTTTATTATATTTCTTCTTATCAAGATTCGCAACTATACTGTATTTTTCTCGTTCCTTATATACTATTTCATCGCATAGAAGGACCTCGCAAAGCACAGTCAACACAATAATAGAAGGTGTCAATAACACACAAGCGTGTCAATATAATGTGCAAATAAGCAAACAGGGAATACTATTATGATTATAAAACTATGTACGAGTGAAGAACAAACTAGTAGTGCACTTCTAAGAATACAAATTCAAGAACGGTGGGATGAAAGTCTACAACAAATAATGAGCATGCACTAAACTGGGAGCGTGACAATCGGTCTTTTTCGTGCGTTAAATTTCGAAGACCTACTATAACTCTTGTCTATGTTTTAGAACGTCAAAAGAAGCATCTTTTAGTATAAATATATTTAGGACTAAGTTATTCTGAAGGTGCTTGTATTGTATACTCACTATAGAGTTCACAATGGCACATCATTTTCTGATTTTTTCACTAATATGCTATTTGTTCATATGTGTTAGTGCTTCTGAATAGTTGTCAATCGAGTGATAAACAATAACTAAGTTAGCATGAGCTAATGCATAAGACAACAGTTTCGCTGAAGATTGTAGGTTGAAATTTTTCTTGCATTATTGTAAACTGCAGTAAGATTTTTATAGGAAGTGCTTCCTTTTAGAGCATTGTCTATCATTAGTTCAAGCATAAGCAGATAAAATTGTTCAAGTTTATCGTATTAATTCACACCATATAACAATAGACTCAACGTAAACATGTCATTTTTATTACCAAGTTCTTTTCGAATGAATAATTCTTTTTGTTTTTTAAATCTTGCTCATCTTCACCGTTCAATGTCAGTGTCACGTAGCAGACATGGGCGATTTCTTTGATCGTTTTAACATGACGCACCATTTCTATGACAAAATGAAACTTATCTTCGCAATAAAAACAAGCACTTCCATCTCGCATATAATGGAAAAGGTTCTAGATACTTTTCTTGACCAAGAATGATGTCAAATATAATTGATTCTTTATCAAAATCTTGTAAACCGTAAAGAGAATAGATTAATGCAATATTTCGATTAGTTTTTGTCGCCATGAAAGTCTTGATCGATGTAAAATCTCTGATATTTTTTGTTATTTTCTAGAAATTATCAGCAGCTACAGGTTGATCATGATAAACAGGAACAAAATGAATTCGCTCATATTTTTACTGCATTTGTTGAATTTTTCTAGCTAACAAAATAAATCTTTGATGGAAAAAATTATGTTTGAATTGAACATCAATATCCTGTAGACATAATGCTTTATTCAAAATTCGATATAGAAAACTGTCAGGCGTATACCATTAAATATCCATATCCATGGTATAGTGATATTCAAAATCATTGGTGATTGTAAGTTCATATGCATTTCCATCGTATTGGTTGACGACAGTCGTCACCCATGATTTTACAGTACATCAAAGATGCTTCGAGATGATTGAATGATGACTTACTATCATTATTGCGTGATAACAAGAAACTCATAGTAAGTTTTTTTTCTCAATGACAAATAGCATTATATCTTGAGCGAGCACTTTATAGATATTACTTTTAGTTTCATAAATACTAAGTACTTTTGAATATTTTCATTTTTCTTGTCGATCTAGCTTCTGCTTGCCTGCAAGCACATACAAAGAACGGATGTGTGGCCAATGATAAATACTAGATAAAAGCTCTGTAAGAAAAAAAAAATATTTTTTCTGATTGACATTCCTTTACTTAATTAATGCATTCGTCAGCATCGTCAAGTGTCACATGAAAATTAATCGTTCGTCTATGTTGGACTTTCTTTTTATTATGGCTAATGAGAAGCCGAACGATCATATTTGTCTTGAGATCTTGATGTCTACAAGTTTATCGTCGTATGTTTTTTGTATTAGGACCTTCACACTAGTAGACCACTTAACATTAGCTAAGCAGTAAACTAAAAATGAGTGATACAATTTTTGAACTGAAAACACCGGTTTTTTCATTCACCTCTTTGTTTTGTCACAATATTAGTTGTTCTCGATGTAATCTGAGTCAAATCATACAGAACTTATGAGAATCAATCGATATTTTATAATTTTTGGTGTCAAATGTAAAAATTACTTTGTAAAATATATTATAGTTGCTTTCTAAATTACTCTCAGTGTAGAAATATGATCTGAAACCGATTTTTTCTTTTCATGAGATAGATTTCAACAAGCTTGTTTCTTTGAATTGAGTTCTTGTGAGGCCGATAATTTATTTGAATGATGTGAACTAGAGATATTTTATTGTAAGTTAATTATTGTTGATAGTTCAATTCGATTGATGCATCTCAACTGCTATCAAATGAGGTATCTCGACAACTGTGAATTTAATACCATTTGACGAACATGATTAAATATCGGTGCAAAACACTCACATCCTCAATAATATCTTATTCACAATCAATCCTTGAAGATGATGATTGCTAAGCAATTTGTACATTTCATCAATCTCGTGACTGATAATAACTGTGTTGAATTGAACTCAACAAAACCGGTTATCATAACGATTAATATTAACTATTTGTTAATTACACAGAATTCAATTATTTATTTTTATTCAGTCTAACTCTTTTGTAGATTAATATTTAAAATTTTAGCTGATTTTCTCACATTGACAGGAAACCTAAACGGATAATTATTAAAAGGTCTTCAGTATTAGACAATCATCAAGATTTTCTAAAATATTGTTTTATTTGTTTACTACCATATATTCAATTCCCACAGTTGCATTTTTTTAATA